AGGACGCCTCAATACCTAGATAGCCACTGTGCTAGGGTTTGAGTGAATCACATTTTAGGGTTTGAGAGAATCACAATAACCAGCCGGTCTGGCCCAGCACACTCACACATGATTTTGAGATGATTCTACACTTTCCTTGGTACAGTGATGTGGGAGTGTCATATATCAATCTGTTGATTTCATTGGTTAAGCAATAAAGAAACTGCTTGGCCCTGATAGGTTAAAACATAGGTGGGAGGAGTAAACAGAACAGAATGCTGGGAAGAAGAGGAAGTGAGCTCAGAGACGCCATGCTCCCCTCTCCAGGAGAGACGCGATAGCTCTGCTCTCTGAGGCAGAGGCATGAAGCTCAGACCCAGGATGGACGTAGGCTAGAATCTTTCCCGGTAAGACCGGTGCTACAGATTATTAGAGATGGGTTGATCGGGATATGAGAATTAGCCTGTAAGGGCTAGAGCTAATGGGTCAAGCAGTGTTTAAAAGCATACAATTTGTGTGTTGTTATTTCGGACCATAAGCTAGCAGGCGGCCGGGGCGCTCGTATTACAACAATGTGCACATAATTTAAAGGAACAGTATATAGAAATTTTTGTTACAGATGCGTGACACCATGTTTTTGTTTTGTTTTTGCAGTTTTGTAACAGGGTCTCTCTACACAGCCCTGGCTTTCCTGAACTTATCACCATTATGTAGACCAGGCTGGTCTTAAACTCCCAAGAACTCCATCTGCCCCTGGCTCCCAAGAGCTGTGATTAAAGGAATGCATCACACTTAACAACAAAAAAAAATTAGAAAAATGAAAAAGTTTAAGTACTTAGCCAGATATATTAAAGTGCTTCATGGATTCCTAACTTTGTACTGTGAACTTTTCCTTCCTTCCTGTTATTTTTGGGAGAGAGTCTTACTAATTAGTCCAGGCTGGTCTTGAACTTGTAGTACAACAATTTTCCTGTCTCAGCCTCACCAGTGCTAGAGTTACAGTTGTGTAACACCATGTCTGGCTTGAGTTTGCTTGATGAGTCACACATCTATCCCTTATGCATGTGATCTAGGATTTGTTTTAATGTAAATACCAGCATCCAACTTAGCCTCTGAACCAGGAAAGAACAATCCTATAAAGCTTGGGCTGCCGTTTCTTCTGGTAAGGGCTCTGTTCCCTCTGCCCTTTTTCTTCATAGTCTCATGTAATCTCAGACAACCTCAAATTTTCTGTTGTTGAGAATGGTGGCCTGAATTCCTGACCCTCAAGCCTCCAACATGTGACCATGCTTGGCATGATTCCACATCTTAATGATCATCGTAGCACTGTAAAAAGATGAAATCTCATTTAGCATCAATCTGTAATGTTAGTTTGTAATTTGCTAAGAGGATGTCCTCAATCTAATGCTTAGAAATCTGCAATTCAAACATTCAGTGTCCTGCTCAGAGAGCCAAGGAACACAGACAAGGATGCAGGGAGAGTGATGGGTGCCCTGTGGCCTAGACCAGCCATTCCACAGCTGTACTTGCTACTATATCCTGTATCATACCTCTGGCCCAGCTCCTTTCATTTCCTACAGGAAAAGGGGATTGGGATCAAGAGATGAACAACCCGGAAACACTGAGAGATGGCAAGAGAGGTCCCCACTCTAAAGTTGATGGGAAGGTGTTTCCTTCACTGCCTACCAGGTATAGGAATTCTCAGGCAGGAAAACACCCTTCCCACCTTGGGGGGGGCAAGCCAGTGGGTATTTGAAATCATAGGGTGACAAGGAACAGTTCCTGAGTGGGTACTGGGGTAAAGTGTTTTATATGGCTGTCTTAGTCCCTGTTCTATTGCTGTGAAGACACCATGACCACTGCAACTCAGTGAAAGCCATCTAACTGTGGGCTTGTTTCCAGTTGCAGAGATGAGGCGCATTATCATTACAGCAGGGAGCATGGTGGCCAGCAGGCAGCTAGTGCCAGAGAAGCAAGAGTTCTGAGGGCAGAAATCTCAAAGCTCATCTCCCCATTGACACTTAACTCCAACAAGGCCACACCTCTTAGTCCTTCTAATCCTTTTCAAATATGCCACTCCCTGGGGACTAAACATTCAAATATATGATCAGGACCATTCTTATTAAAAATACCACAAAGGTCTTGTAAAATAAAAAATCTGGGCCAGGTAGTGGTGGTGTATGACTTTAATTCCAGCACTCAGGAGGCAGAGGCAGGTAGATCTCTCTGTGAGTTCGAGGCCAGCCTGGTCTACAGAGCGAGTTCCAGGACAGCCTCCAAAGCTACAGAGACACTGTTTTGAGAAATGAACAAACAAACAAATCAGAAAACAAAACAAAAATGAAAAATTTGGAAGTCACTGTAAAGTTTATAGTCATCTATAAAGTGTTTATAACATAAACACTTTACCAGCTGAGATTAAGGCATGCCTAGCATTAATTTGAGTATTTTGGGAGTTTTGCATCCATCTATGCACACATTGTTTGAAGGGAAGCTTAAAACTGGGCACGGGGGGGGGGGGGAGTAACAGGACAAAGCTTTTTGCCGTGCATTCTTTCTCCCATCCAAGTACTAACCAGGCCCGACCCTGCTTAGCTGCCCAGATCAGCCGAGATCAGGCCGTTCAGGGTGGTATGGCTGTGGACTAGGGCATTCTTTCTGTGGCTCCCTTCTACCTTTTTTTTTTTTTTTTTAAATATGATGGTTTCAACAATGGATCAATTCCTTAGCTAGGGGAAAACACACACACACACACACTGAACTCAAAGCTTACTAAATGAGAAATTAATATCTTTAAAAGAATTATAAAATTACATCCTTTTGGGCTGGAGAGATGGCTCAGTGGTTAAGAGCATTGCCTGCTCCTCCAAAGGTCCTGAGTTCAATTCCCAGCAACCACATGGTGGCTCACAACCATCTATAATGAGATCTGGTGCTCTCTTCTAGCATACAAACATACATGGAAAGAATGTTGTATACATAATAAATAAATAAATCTTTAAAAAAATTACATTCTTTTTTTAAAAATTATCTAGTTATGAGGGGTGGGCTGGCATTTTTTTTTTATTACAGCACTCGGGAGGCAGAGACAGGTGGATCTCTGAGATTGGGGCCAGCCTGGTCTATGGACAGTTCCAGGACAGTCAGAGCTACACAGAGAAACCCTGTCTCCCCCCCGTTCAGAAAAAGGAAAAGAAATGAACAAGCTTACAAATACCCTGGCAAAGTAAAGACGTTACTCTGAATGTCCCTCCTCTCAAATTTGTTCTTTGGTTTGTGAGAAAGCATAGCGATGAGGATCAAAATGCCTTAGTTCTAACGTAGTATCGTTTCATGCATCACAAATGTTGCTTGTGGACACCTTGGTCTGGGTGGTCAGGGTCTACAGTATACACACTATACAGATAGCGGCATCTAGGAAGAACACAACAGTCTGTCTAGACACGTCCAGATCACCCCGGAGTTCTGCGAGCCCCCAATCCACTGCTGTCTTTTACTAAAACAACACACCGTGAAAAAGAATCGAATCTAGGCTCTCACACTAAGTGGACCAAATGCGTTGTATGATGGTGGTGGGAAGGAATAATGCAGACTGGTGGGGAGGGGAGGCCAAAAGTTCGAGCCGACTCCCCGAGGAGTTGGTGGAAGTTCTCGCAGTAAATGGCCTGTCAGACACAGGAGTTTCGCTCTTCCTGCTCGGCCGCACGAGCTTACTTGCAGGAGAGCCTTTATAATCCACTCCCAGCTAAAAGCAACAAAAGGCCTGTCTCCTACGCAGCTTTTAATTGCGTATGCATTCTGGCCTGCGAATGGTCTGGGGGCTTGCTCCAGTGGGTTCCATGGCTAACCCCACAGCGCGACCCTGCCTCCCGGAGCAAGCGGTGCACGCAAAGGAGGGAGCGGCCGCCCGGGAGGCTGGCCAAGGCGGCGTGGCCCCGCCCAGGAGCCTCTGGCCCCGCCCCATCTAGGAGGGGGCGGGGGGGGGAAGAGCCGAGCTCCGGCCCCGCCCCAGGGGCCGCCTAGGACGGGGAGCGACGCACACAGGTCGCGCCGCTCGCTCACCCCTCCCTCCCGGAGGCCCCGCGTGCGCGCGCCCCAAGTCCCGCGGCGCCGAACACAATGCCGACGCCTACGCCGCGCGCGCGCGCGCGCCGCCCCGGCCGGCGCCACGGCCCCGGCGCCAGGGGCGGGGGAGGAGGGCGGGGAGGGAGGGAGGGGGAGGGGAGCAGCGTGCGCGAGAGCCGCAGACAGCGCGAGACCCGAGGCCGGAAGCGCGCGTGCGCGCCCCCGCCCGCGAGCGGGAGGCGGAGCCGGAGCAGTAGCGGCAGCAGCTGTAGGAGCCGCTGCAGCTGGGAGACGCGCCAGAGAGGCCGGGCCTGCTCCGGTCCGACCGGATCCCTCCCCTCCCCCTCCCTGCGCCCTCCCCTCCCCCAAACCCACTTCCGCAGCTCGCGGCCTGGCCGCCGAGGCGGCGACGACGACCACAGCGGGAGGCGACGGCGGAGTACGCACCTGACGGGCCCGGCTGGAGGGGCTCCGGCGCGGGATCGCTCGCCGGCCGCCGCCCGCTCCGGACGCCCTTGGCCGCGGCGGGCAGCAGGGACCGGCGACTGGGACCGGAACGCGGAGCGCCCCCTCCCCTTGCGCCCGCCCTCTCGGCTTCCGTCCCCTCCCCCTCTCGCGAAGCCCCGGATGGAGCGGCCGGGACTCGCCGCCGCCTGGCTGCCGGGATGGTTTTGTCAGGCGGCCAGAGCCCCGGCGCCAGGCGCAGTCGCCGCCCCCGCCCCGCGGGTCCCCCCCTCCCCGCCCCGACCTCCCCGCCCCAGCGCCCCGCGAGTTCGGGCCCGCCGCCTGCCTTCGCCCGGAGCCCCGGGACGGGAGTCATCCGTCGCCTTTGTTGTCACGGCCGCTGCCGGAACCGTTTGCGAGCTCCGGCGGCTCCCGCCCCTCCCTGCGCCTTCCCGGAGCCCGGGCCGGGGGCGGCACGTGGGCCCCGGGACGCGGTGGCGGTGCGCGCTTACCTGTCGCCGGTGCGGCCGCGGCGGGGCGTGAGGGGGAGGCAGAGCCCGGCGGCCTGGCCTAACTGTCCCGGCCGCCGCCTCTGCCCCGCGTTGTTGCTGCTGCTCCTGCTGCTGCTGCTGCCGCCGCGGTCGGTGTCTCCGGCGCGGCGGCGGGCGGCGGCGGCGGGGCTTTTCCTGTCCGGTTACGTTAAGGTCACATGACCGAGAGAGCGGAGCGACTAGTGCAAAGAGGCTGAGAGCGGCTCCCGCCGGGGGGGAGAGGCGGCGAGAGAGCAGTGGCGGCAAGAGCCCCTCCGCCCCCCCAGCCGCTCCCCTCCCCCCCGCCCGCCTCCGCCTCCTGCTGCTCTGCCGCCGCCGCCACCGCCGCCGCCTGCAGCTCGGCGCTGCCGCTCCCACCCAGCCTCGGCTCGCGGCTCCAGCCAAAGTTCTGCAAGCCATGTGCAGCCGAGGCGAGGAAACTTCTCCGCTGCGGTCGGCCCGGAGGCTGGCGGCCCGACCCCCTTGTTTACAGAGTGTTTAGGTAGGACCAGTTCTGCGGATGCAGATGGTCATTTCGGGGTGCAGAACGAGATGCATGCCCGTCCTCCTGTCAAGAGATGCTTGACATCTTGTGGCTCTGCCGTTCTACCCGGGCTGCTCCGTGTTAGCCTTTCATCCTAAGATGTGAAGTTGAGTGGGCCGCTTGTCAGTCACCGAGGTGTTGCCACCGTTGGTGGCTGAAAGTCATACTGAAGTAGATATCGGTGTGTGCCCTGTGCAGCGAGGTCGAGGTGCTTACATAGGCAACTGTGGGCTAAGATGTTTTTAGGATTGAATGGGGTGAGTTGCTTATTCCCTTATGTTGAGCTGAAGTTTGTCGCGCTTTGCAGTGGGTGTGTGTGTCTTTGCACGGGATACCACTCTGGCTGAATTTTGGCCTCCGAGGATCTGGTAGAGTGGGTTCAGAGTTGCCAACCTGTTAGATGGAACAGGGAGATCCTGAAGCATGGTAACATGGTTGTGGGCGTTGGAATTCCCTGATGAGCATTCCTAAGGTTTTCAGGTTCACGTCTTGTGTTCTTATTTTGCTAGTTCTTTGTAGGAAGTACAGTTTTATCCCCTTTGAAGGCTCGAGTTACTGGTTTATTTTATATATCTTAGATTTAAAGGTTGGGTCATAAGTAAATGGAGACAGCAGTGTCCAGGTTACAGAAGGTCTTAGAGTGCAGTAACCTGTAAGGACCTTGATGCCAAACTCATTTGGTGTTTACCAAGGCAGACCCCTAGCACAATGCCTGGCACATTGGCAGTGTTCATCCTGGAAGTCTTGAGTTTGATTTAGCAATCTGGTTGTATATACAACTACTGATGACTAATTTCTTCTTTGAAGACAAGCATCCGTGTAACTGGTGTGACCCCAGAGTGAATAGTAGACTCAGTGGATACCTGCCTTGAACTTTCTAGACTTTAATCAGCCAGAGGAAAAACTTGTGGAGTGCTTAAACGTTTGCCTCCACAAACAAATTCTGACTCTGACCTAAGTGCTCTAGGGCGGCACTCTGAGGGCCACAGCTTGACTGGTTCATTGGAGTGGCTGGCCTATTTCCTCTTTGTAAGAGACTGAAATGAATCTGATTTGTTGTGTTGAGAGTCATGATTAAGGTCTTTAAATCTTAAATTGTGCTTGTGGAGTTCTCTGTGAAGGTGGACTGATTAAGGAACATCTTGGTGTTTGCTGAGACAGTCTCAAAAGTTAGGCAGTTTTTGGCTAGCCTGGACCTTGCCACAATCTTCCTCTTCCTATGCAGTGCTAGGATTATAGGGATACACCACATATCACCATCTTTGAGGACCTTGTGTAGTTTTAACAGTATCGTTCCTAAGGCATGTGGTGCTGAGGGCATGCATCCTCATGCCTTAAGGAGCTGCTGCTGTGAATGTGTTGTCTAGAGCATCCTTGTCTCCTTAGAGCCTGGCTGCTTTGCTGCTAGTTCTCAAGACATGGGCAGGCCGGCTTGACTTCTGCCAAGTGAGCAACTTACTTTGTATTTCAGTCCCCATCATGGGTTGGTAGGTTGACTAAGAGGCTGTGTGGGCTGGCTCTGCTTTCTCGCAGCTTGTTTAAGGATGCCTTTGTATGGAAGGGCTGGGGAAACGGCATCCCTTACACCTTACAGAGAAGGGCCGTGCTGAGGGCACCTATCATATCTCTGGTTGACAGAAAAGCCACACCTGCTCTATGTTGAATAATAAGTTGTCAGTTTTATTACCAATTGTTTTTGTATTTTGAAAATCGAGCAAATTGGGAGTTCAAAGAAAACCGTGCTAACAATCTGAGCGGATTCATCCCAAAAAGATGAGTAAATGCCCTGTGAAGTCTTGTATTGATAAGAGATTTGGTTTGTCTTCTGTTGAGGGACTTTCACAAAAGTAGGCATTTCTTGTATGTTTTGAAGAAGATAGTTCCAGTGTGACATTGACAGCGAACAAAAAAAATTATAACAGTTCTGAAGTTATCTTTAACCCCCACTTTCCATGAAAGTTTTGTATGTGCTTAGGTTGAATGTGGAATTTCCTTTAAACCTTTGCGAGAAAGTTAGCAGGAAGGAAGATCTTGGTCATAAATGTGATCAGAATCCAGTGCTGTCTTTGGCTAGATTTTATGAAGGATGTCCTGTTGAGTAACCTTAAATTAGGACAATGGTGTGCTTTTATATGGATGTCAGAGTGTGTATGTGGTATACCATGGCCTCTGGTTCTAAGACATAGTCTTCTGTGTAGCTCTGAATGGCCGGGAACTCACTATATAGACCATACTGGCCTTGAACTCACAGATCCATCTGCCTCTGCCTCCTGAGTGCTAGGATTACTAGGCATGTGGCAGCATGCCTGCCTCATACCCTCTTTATATAATGAGCTTAACATAGAAGTGAGAAAAGATGCATTTTAGCCAAGTGTGGCACATCCCTGTAATCTCAGCTATCAGACGGTTGAGGCAGCAGGATTGCTGTGAGTTTGAGGCCAGTCAGTTACAGAGTGAGACCCAATCTTAAAACAAAAACCTGACAAACCCCACAAACAAAGCAGGTGAAAAACCAATTTATTTCGAAGACTGTCGTATTTGTTTCATTGGCTATATCATAGGAGTTTTAAGAAATACTGGTTCATGGTTGGTTTTTACAGGTCACAGTCCCCAGAGATGAATTCCTTATGCTTCAGTGAGTTGCTGTGGTCAAGGGCATGTAGATCTGTGAGAATTCACTGTGATACTGATGAATACCTTCTAAAATACTGTGGGTATAGGTGTGAGGGTGTGTGCTGTAGCCCAAGTGTGGAGGTCAGAGGAATACTTTGGGTCCATCCACGTTTACATGGGTTCTAGAGATCAAACTCAGGTCATTAGATTTGCACAGCAGACTCCGACCTGCTGAGCCACATTTTAAATTGTGTGTGTGGTAGACGCTGGGAACTGAATCGTCCTTTACAAGAGCAGTTTGCACTCTTAACCTCTGAGCCATCTTTCTAGCCCCCCCCTTTTTTTTTTTTTGATTTTTCGATACAGGGTTTCTCTATGGCTTTGGAGCCTGTCCTGGAACTAGCTCTTGTAGACCAGGCTGGTCTCGAGAACTCACAGAGATCCGCCTGCCTCTGCCTCCCGAGTGCTGGGATTAAAGGTGTGCGCCACCACCGCCCGGCTCCTTTTTGTTATTTTTTAAAGAAAGATCTCTTGTGCCCAAGCTGGCCGTGTTCCCTGGAATTTTTGATTCTTCTGCCTTTATTTTCCCAGTGCCAGAATTAAAGGTGTATGTATCTGTGAAATTGATTGGGCTGTTTTACATTTATTTCATAATGCCAACCAAAATTGGGACCACAATATGAGGAAACACTGAATTTTTTTCCTGCTATAATCAACCCCAACATTAAGACAGTAAGGCATATATATCTCACATAGTTTTGTGGGTTACAGGTATCAGGGAGTAGTGGAACTGAGAGGCTGGGCCAGGGTCATCCAGAAATTCCAGTCAAGTTCTTGTAGCTACTGGATCTGCTTCCAAGGTGGCTCACTGCTTTGCCAGTAGTTGGTTGCAGCCTCCAGTTCTTTGTTGGAATGCTAGCATGGATGGCTTCCCCCAGAAGCCTCCACACAGTCATGTGTGCTTCCTCCTAGTGGCAGTGCACAGCACAGGTCTAGGCTGACAGGAGGAGGGAAGAAGCTGTTCCTCCTCCTCAGTCCGCCGCCCAGGAGGCTGTAGCTGGCTCAGATCTGTAGCTGGCTCAGTTTAGTGTTTTTCCAGTTCCTAGACGAATTAGGATGGAATCAGAAACCTTGCTAGAGTCAATCTGAGTAGTTCGTTGATGAAGTCAGTTTTTCTTTTCTGGTAAGGGCATCTGGTTTCTCTGCTCAGCCTTAACTGTGTGAAAGGAGGCTCAAGGAAGGTAAGGGGTTATTCAACCTAAGGCCTGAGTCAGTGTTTGAGAAGTAAAATTTTCTCCGAGCTTTATCATGAATAATCTGATTGCTGATGAGAAAAATGGTAATTGCTTTTTAATCTTTCTTAAAGAACTTATAGTGTAGATATGTTGTCTAGTCTCCCAATTTGCAGACCTGTGAGAATGTTGTTGAGCTTTGTGTGTTTATATAACCTCTGCATAAGTAACACATAGTTATTTACGTGTATGTGTATGTTTGCATGAGTTTATATGTACCACATGGATGTCTTGTGCTTCTGTAGAAAGAGGGCATTGGATTGGGTGCTGGAAACTTGTACCACTGAGCCATCTCCCATTCCTTTAGATATTAAAGACTTTCTTTTTAATTATGTATATATGTGTATGTTTTAGTTACTTTCCTGTGGCTGTGATAAATACTATGACCAGAACCAGCTTAAGAAAGGAAGTTTATTTTGGTGTATGGCTTCAGGGGTAGAGTCAGTCCATGACAGGAGAGGCTTAGCGGCAGCAGCAGGAAAACTGGAAGCTCAGAGGTTGCATTTCAGCCACACTGAAGCAGAGAAAGCAAGCTGAAGGGGAGGGATGCTGCAAACTCAACACCTGCCTTTGCCACGTCTAGCAAGTCTGCTTCATCTAGCCAGACTCCTACCCTGAAGGAGTCCAAACTTTCCCAAACAGCACTACCAGTGTGCCCACTGATGAATTGCATC